GAGGGGGGGGGGGGGCAGGTCGTTGGGGACGCACCCCTCCTTCTCACCTCGACCTCAAAGTGATCGGCCTCGCGCGCGCGCTATGTGGAAGAGAGCAGCCGACGCAGGGCGGAGGGAGGGGCGGCGGGGCGGCGGGAAGAAGAGAGAGAGAAAAAATTACTCGATTGCTATCAGTCGGCCAGCACCTTTACAAGGGGCGGGGCCCGGTATAGGCGTTGTGCCGGAGTGTCAAGGGCCCGGCCCGGCGCAGGTGCGAGAGCGATAGGAGGGCTGTGCTGCTCTTCTTTTTAATTTTTTTTTTGCTGCGGTGCTTTTTTTATGTGCGGTACCACAAAGTGGTGTCACAAAGTCACCCACCCGCAGCAGAGCGTCGCCCCAATATGTCTCACCAAGTTCGCCGTGTCATCATCTCCTTTACGGGGTCATTTCATTATCCCAATAATTGGTCAAATGGGGTTTTGACGCGGTTTTCGGCCCGCTCGCTCCTCTCCAGAAGGTGACTATAGAAACTATGGAACTATGGAAACATGTTAGTAAATTTATAGCATTTATTGTAGGTTTACAAGTCATTTATTTTTGTGATCCTGATTTGCAAACTATGTTGTAAACTTAGTACTGCTCATTCATCTCGTCGACCAAAGTCTAACATCATAAGAAAAAAAAATTACAATTCAAAATTCAATTTAACAACATAAATAAGGGACAATTTTCCCGTAAAAACTACACGCTTATCACTGTTACAAAGTTCATGTGACCTCACATTCCATTACCGGCGAAAACTGTCACATTACTTTTCGTGTGAAATTAGAATTACCATTCTCATCCTGGCTGAAACTAGCTTGAAACTAATAAGACACCAAGATTTAACGGTTTGAGATGCCTAGATACCGACTATATATCCGTACATTAAAGGTGTGCTGCGAGTACGTGCGATCCTTTGGTTCCTTCCTTGCTTTTAGAATTTCGTCGGCCCTGTGGCGACTGAAATGTTCGTCTGGCTGTACTGTTATACCTGCCCCTGCTCCGACTTTTCTTATTTCGTCGGTGGCAGCGGGGCGGCAACGCAGACGATAAATCGATATCTTTTCTGGACAAGAACCCCACCCACGCCCTCAGCTCTGCCAGGCCCCACTGCGGCCCCGCGCCCCGCACGCCCCGCCCCTGAGAAAGGGGAGGGGATGGGGGCGGGAAGGTGGTGGCGTCTGCATTTTGTGGGCAGCTACGAAAACGCCCTAAAAACGGTCACCCCTTAAAATAAGGGCGGTCTTAGGTTTGTACTTTTTCCGTGTACTTAATTCTCTCTCTAGAAAATTGCACTTCATTTTGATCAAAATGGGAGGAACAGCTCCTTTAGCACTGGTAAAATCGAGTTAAGTACTCTGCTCTGAACACTAAAGACTAATGCAATGCATTTGAAAGGAATCAAGGAAACTAAAAATATAAACTAAACCAATTCTCACCGTTTGAAGCAAGGGGGCCATTACTTCGATTAAGGGTGTACACAAGATAACGTAAATACCTCGGTAAATACAGGGGTTACACGTGAATTTTGAGGGATTACACATGAGTTTTGTTGAATTTCTGGCTCTAAAAGAATCAAATTTTGACTGTAAGGTGAAATTTAGTGATAATGGGTTAAAAGTTGGTCAAGTAGTATACACAAGGATAAAGGACAATACATAAGGATTACACAGGGATTACACCCTCATCTGTACAGAGGATTACGCCCCCTCGGTTTGAAGGCTATTCTTTCGTCTGCTCTGCACAGAACTGTCCCATCCTTGAATTTCCCAAGGATACAGCAGCAACAACAACGATAATGCTTCACAAACTCGAAGGGGCGCGCATATAGCGGGGGCGCGTCTGAGGCCAAAGCTCTTCGGGAGGCAGAAGAAGTCGGGCCTCCTAATGGACCACCGTCCGTCTTCCCCGCGCCCACCGCGACTTTTCCTTCTGCTTTTCTTTTTTTTTATGGTAAATGAACTCCCGCGAGCCGCTCCAGCTGACCCAACCCCCCAGCCCTCCCGGCTGCGCAGAGCGGCGCAGAGCCCAGACGCACCAAGTTTTCCACTAGATATGTCATGCCTCCAGGCCCCCTGGCCTGGCGGGGCAAGGCGGGGCTCTCCGGCTCTCCGCCTGAGAGGGGCCGAGGAGTGAGCGGCAGGGCCTGACGATCTTCGACCTGCAGTGGGACCAAGTACACAGAAAAAACAAATGCAAGTCGCACCTTTGAATGGGTGTTGAAGAAATTGTTTTGATTGAATTGCCTTTGTAAAGATCTTCGTGAAGGCACTAATTTATTAACACGGCAAAAGCAATGTCTGATTTATTGAGGAAAAAGTGAAACATTTGAGGAACTCCTTAACTCTGTCAATTCAAACGTGTACATTGTACGCTTTAAATAAAGTGTACATGGCATGCGTATGCTTCAATTAATGTGTACATGGCATGCATGCTTTAATTAATGTTTACATGCCCATGTACGCACTTATAAATGTGTACATGTCCATGAACGCATCTTTTAAAGTGTACATAGACATATATACTGTGCAAGTACGGCACATACAACCATTAGTTACATGCCATGTCTACCATTATTGAAGTATTCATATGCCACGTACACTTTATTTAAAGTGTACAATGTACACATTTGAATTGACAGAGTAGTTTGAGGA